GGGGGGATGGTCACGCCGCAATCCCTTCTCCTCCATTCTCCTCTCGGGATCTTGGGCACGCACGCACACGCCCCCGGCGTGAGTTCTAAGCCACCAGGTCCGGGACGCGAACTGCGGTCGACTACGTGGGAGTCCAGCGACATAGCCATCCACCATGCCACCTGCAGGCCCCAACAATTTTTTAAATTACACCATTTTTTAAAGACTTATTTTACTATTTATTTATTTATTTAAATTTGACCAGAGAGAGACAGAGTGAGACAGAGAGGGCAGGGGAAGGGAGAACGTGAGAAAGCAATCTGCCAGGTCTGGGACTCAAACAGCAGTCAGCCATGTGGGAGTCCAGCGACATAGCCATTATGCTAACTGCTGTTTCCCCCCAACAATTTTTTAAATTACACCATTTTTTAAAGACTTATTTTACTATTTATTTATTTATTTAAATTTGACCAGAGAGAGACAGAGTGAGACAGAGAGGGCAGGGGAAGGGAGAACGTGAGAAAGCAATCTGCCAGGTCTGGGACTCAAACAGCAGTCAGCCATGTGGGAGTCCAGCGTCCTTTACCACCATGCCACCCGCTGGCCCCAGGAAAAATGATTACCACTCAGGCAAGGAATCTGGGAGAGATCATGAGGACTCTCAAAATGACACAGGCTGGCGTCACTGTATAACAGTGACACACTGCCCAAGAGAAGCTGGATCCCACGTGGTGACTGCGGTTGGAGTCCCTGGCCTGGTCAGCCTGAAATATGCTGGGCACGTGTCCAAGTGCCCCACATCTGCGGGACTAGAGGGGAGGAACTCTCGGCATGACCAGACCCTGCGAAGGGTGCTCATTTCTTCCTCTTCACACTTTATGCTGAATAAGGACAATAAAGAATAAACCACATAGGTCCATAAAAAAGCTGGGGGAGGGAATTAGAAACCAACAGTAAAACCTCCACCTGTCCATTCATCCCACATTCACGGAGCTCTTATTTGAACTAGGCCCTCTACTTAGAGCTAGGGATAATGAATATAAATGACAGTCGTTCTGTTTACTCTGCTGCACTGACACTCAGAATGCTGAGTGTCCTTAAGGAAGTGACAAATAGCCCGGTGCAGCTCTCAGGCTGTCTGCGTGATTTCACTCACGTTGTTTTCTGGGAAGGTTCGGCAATCGGCAGCAAGGGACATAACTATGTTCCCCTTGATCTGTTCCTGGGAATTTATCTTGAGGGACTATCTGAGGTGGGGACAGGGATTTATAACCAAGAATGTTCACTGGTGTGGTTCTAATGAAACAGGACACAACCTAAGTGTCCAACGATGGGGAAGGGGCAAGAAAGTGACGGTACGTTTCTATGATGAACTAGACACAGTAATTAGAAATGACATAAAACAATGGCATGGGGTAAAAGCCCAGGGGAAAAAAAATGCAGGATACATATTGTTATAGAACATGCAGAAAGAAATCCATGATTGTGGTTTTTATAATTATGAATTTTATTCATCATCATTATTATTATTTTAATTTGAATAGAGAGAGACAGAGAGAGAGGGAAAGTGAGAAACCAAGCCACCAGGTCTCGGATTTCAACCAAGGACGACCACATGGAAGTCCAGCCCCTTAACCACCATTCTACCTGCCAGCCCCCCATGATTGTGTGTGTGTGTGTGTGTGTGTGTGTGTGTATTTAAGAATTATTTTATTTAACTTTACTTATTTTAACTGGATCAGAGAGAGAAAGAGAAAGTGAGAATGCAAGCCGCCGGGTCCACGACTTGAACTGCAGTCCACCACGTTGAAGTTTAGTAGCCCTAATCACCGTGCCACCTGCTAGCCCTATAATAGGATTGTATTTTTTTTTTTTTTTTTGGAGAGATTTTTTACTATAGGGCGCGTGCGCTCGCCAGACAGACAGAGAGAGACATTAGCGACAGAAAGCGAGAAATCACCCCCCAGGGGGGATGGCCATGCCGCAATCCCTTCTCCTCCATTCTCCTCTCGGGATCTTGGGCACGCATGCACACGCGCCCGGCGTGAGTTTTAAGCCACCGGGTCCGGGACGTGAACCACGGTCGGCTACGTGGGAGTCCAGCGACATAGCCACTACGCTAACTGCTGGTTCCCGGATTGTGTTTTTAGAATCTTTATGTTTTTCTTTTTCTTGACAAGGTGCATGTCCTTTTTCTATAAACGTTATGTTTGGTTTTTCCTTCCTCCCTTTTAAATCAAAGACATAATGGCAAAGGGGAAAGTAAGAACACAAGCGACCTCAAGTTTGGGAATTCAGTTGCAGGATGGCTGACGTGAATGAACTGATACTCCACACCTGCGTGGCAAGGGTTACCGTCAATAATAGTCTCTGCAATGTTGCAATGTACTGGATTCCTTCTACGTGGTCTATGCACTTGAGAATAGGTTTATCGTCCCTATTTTACAGAGGTTAAAACAGATGTGATAGAAGGGTCAACTCAGGTTTGTCTGGTTTCAAACCTTCATCTTTTTCCACTGTGCTAAGTACAAGCACATTCAAAAAGGGTAACAAGCCACTCACAGACAAACGCACAGGATTTTTAGTGTATGTGGGGCATTCACATGGTACTAGGTTTGATCTGGCCGCTGACAACCTTCCCAGGTCACACTCCATTTCCCCTTCTCTCTGTATTATTTTCTTGGAGAATCTGTTTGATAGCCACAATATATACTCCTTGTTTGCTGCCAAAAAAAACAATGGAGTATTACGATTTGCATATGTGTACGTGTACACACACACACACACACACACACACACACACAGAGCTTACTGGCCCTCACGTTTAAGAGGAGGCATCCGCTTTCTGCACCCATAAAGGACGCCCTATCTCATCCCCCAACCCCGCCCGGGTTCCGTGCAGTCCTAATCCCGGATGTCTCCCTTTGCACTCTCCGTAACGTTTCATTGCAGCCCATTTTCTCCTTCCTGCACCCCATCCCCTCCCAGACCGACAGTCAAAGCAAAGGCCAGGCGGCATGACCTTGGTCATCCCCAGGCGCGAACTCGCTGCGCGACCTTGTGCTACACCCGCTCCCCCCTCGGCGCACTGGCGCGGCAGGATGGCCGGGTCCCCGCCCGGGCGCTCCCCAGCCCCCCCGGGTGCCTCCGCGCGCGCCCCACGGCCCCCGCGCCTACGCCACCGGCGTAGCGGCCGCCCCCCACCGCGCGGGGCCCTCC